GCGGAAGAAGAAGTAGTTCCTTTGAATGTAGACAATCCGAATGATATAGTTTCTTTCCACTGTGTTGCTGTTAATGATAAACTATAAATTAACCCTAAATTACTAAAATATCGATATTTTAATGTGAGAATCGATTCTAGAACATCAATGATTGGTATCGGAAGAATCGATATTTCAGGATCGATCCGCACATCATGAAAGTAATAACCAGTTAACCTGGAAGACAGGACACTGTTGTTCACGTGAAACCGAAAGTAAACAGTATAGCTGGTGTTACTCCCTCCACTGTCTTTTATCGACGGCTCCAAATGAGATATAAATCCCCAAATATTAAGAGCAACAATGAGAAGTATTTGGATGTAACTGGTTGCTGTTTCTTGCAGGAGGTTGAAGATGCTGCTGTTTCTCCTGCTCCTTATTAGCGGTAAGAAACTCTTATATACTATATGTAAACAATGTTTATCTTGCACTCAGACCGAAGTTTGCTCATTATCGCAAAGGTAGATACGCGCAGTGCGTGAGATTACCGATTTAATGATGTGTGGCTTTATTTGTAAGAGAGCAAGGGATGGTGTGAGAAAGTCTGGACCGACTTTGTGTTGGAAGTTTGAGCCTGGGAGAGGCTAACTAGCCGTGCTAAGCTAGCCCGGTGACGCAGGTCATGGCTGCAGGTCTGAGATAAAAGGCTTTATTGACAGGTCCGATAATCCTTTATATCACAACATCATTCTCAGACAGGTGACAGGAACATGCAGTGAAGTGGCCATCTATATCTGCTATTGTTACCAAAGTGTGACTGACTGGAACGTTAAAATCGAAAGCTTTTCTTTTTTTTGTTCAGAACTGTGAGGATTGTTTATTTCCTGTTTAATCTCGCAAACTACCACTGATGCGGTAACCGGAACTAATTCCCTCTGAAAAGTTTGATTTCACCGCAGCGTTTCACTAACTTCCCAGAAAATAAAACTAAGTTGTTTAAGTAAAAATCTTTTTCAAAGAAACACCGTCAACGTGCATAGTTTAGCTGGGCAGGAAGTCAGAAACAGTAACAGTCTAAAACAAAACGACAACAAAAACTAAACTTCACTTAAAAGTATGTTGGAGAGTCGTGGACACACTTGCAGATTTGTGTCTGGGCTCTGTCAAAAAGTCAGATAATATAATATAGAATACAAATTAATAATTACTGAATTGATTACTGGTGAAAAGAGCAGAAAAGAGAGTTTGATTAACAATTTCATGGGGTTGTTTATGGTCTGCCTCCTGAAGTCAAACATAAACAGACAGTGACAGAAGATACTTGACCACATGAGTTATTTCGGTGTTACATACCAGTGATTTACAGTAAATACTACTTTGACACTGTTCCAAATGACACAGAACAAAAGTAATGCTCATAATAAAGGCTGCTATATAAGAACAGACATAAATAATGAAATCGGGATAAACTTTAAAATCTCTTTAAAGGCATCTTGATGCATTCTTAATCATCCAGGAAAGTAAATCTCCAAAAGTTGATTCTGTTCATCTGGACGTAGCGTTTTGTGGGAGAAACGTTTCATCATCCAGGTGACTTCTTCAGTCACAGCCGACTGCAGGTTTCCCCAACCAGTACATTTGCATAATGACTGAAACCAGCCCACTGAGGAACAATGGGCTGGGAGGTCAGTTCGTTAATCTTAATTATGCAAAATCTCATGACCAACAACCACTGACCAAAACCCACTGATCAATGGCCATGAGTAGCATTCAGAGTTGGGGAATGGCTGCAATCACAGCATTGTAAGATGGCGAAAGATGTACCCTTAGGCCCCCTCCTTGATTCAGAGATGGTCTTTCCCTTTTCACGTAATTGGCCTCCTTGACTCCACGCTCAAACCAGCGTTCCTCCCTGTCCAGGATGTTACATCCTCATCCTTGAAAGAGTGTCCACTGGCCTGTAGGTGTAAATAGACTGCAGAGTCCTGGGCTGACGAGGTAGCTCTTCTGTGTTGTGCCTATACTGTCCTTTTCCAGTATAGGTTTGATTACAGCTTTTACAGTTTTTAGTTGTTCTGGAAACACACCTGACATTAAAGAAAAGTTGACGATCTGTAACAGGTCTGACTCTAAAGTCTTTGAGACCTTTTTGAAAAAACTTGTTGGCAGGACATCTAAACAGCAGGAGCAGGAGTTCAGTTGACCTTAGATGTCCTCCAGGTCTTTGCTGTTAATCGGGTGAAGCTGTTTCATGGTGTTTAAACAGTTTTTTGGTGGACACAGTACATATCCTGGATCTGCTGTTGATGTACCAATTGCTTGTCTAATCTTTTGGATTTTTTCAGTGAAGAATTTGGCAAAGTCATTGCAGGCCATGGTCGAATGAAGTTCAGCTGCCACTGACACAGGGGGGTTTGTTAGCCTGTCAACTGTAGAAAATAAGACCCGAGCATTATGGCTGTTTTTAGTGATGATGTCAGAGAAGTAGGACCTCCTTGCACTCCTCAGTTGTAAATTATAATTGTGAAGTTTCTCTTTATAGATGTCATAATGAACCTGGAGGTTTGTTTTTCTCCATCTGCGCTCAGCTTTCCTACACTCTCTTTTTTCATTTTTCACCAGTGTGGAGTTTCTCCATGGAGACTTTTTCCTTCCAGAGATAACCTTCACCTTAATGGGAGCAATAGTGTCCATTACATTTAACATATTAGCATTGAAGTATTGACGAGCTCATTGACTGAACCTCTGGACAGGTCAGGTGTTAATGGGAAGACCTGGTTAAAGATCTCACTACTGTGTTCAGTTATACACCGTTTTGTGATGACTGCTGTTGATATATTTGTGTGGGCTGAGATTTTACTTTCAAAGAAAACACAGTAATGATCAGACACGCCCACATCAGACACAGTAACCTTTGAAATGCTCAGGCCCTTGGAGATCAGTAGGTCAAGAGTGTGTCCTCTATTATGTGTGGCCTCCGTTACATGCTGAGTCAGCCCAAAGTTGCCCAGAGTGTTACTCAGGTCTTTAGTCCCTTTGTCCTGAGGGTTGTCCACATGGATGTGAAAATCCATGTGGACATCATCTTATCACTCATTAGCTTATTATTCAAACATGACAAGTGAAATCTCCCGCAGCTTAAACATGTGAGAGGTTGATCGCGCAGAGAATCGCTGAGCTTATGTGAGTGCGTGTGTAAAAGCAGCAGGATATATATTTCAGTTCTGCTGAGCCAAATAAGACAGGTCAGGGTGAAGAAGTGACAGCCAAAGAAAAACTTACCACAAAACGGAAAAGTTATGACAAATCAGACTATAAGGCAAAAAGAAAGTGCAGCTTTATGGTTTCATGGACAAAAGAATTTCTGTGGCTGGACTATGACAAGCTAAATAACATGATGTTCAAATCAAATCAAATCACTTTTATTGTCACATCACATGTGGAGTACACTGGTACAGTACATGCGAGTGAAATTCTTGTTCTGCCGGGTGTGTTGTTGGTTTTCCCTTGATTGCTGAGTTGACAGGCGCCTTTGTTACTGGGACCAGTACTTTTAAGAAAGACCCCATTAGAAGGAATGAGGCGCATGAGGAATGCATCATTGCTCAGTCTGCAATATCTTTCCCAGAACAAACACCAATTGCAAATAACATACTAAAAATAAACCTGAAAAATCTGTTTAGAACAGCTACTATGTTGCAAAGAGTGAACTACCACTCGCACAATTTAACAGTCTTTGCAAACTTCAAACAGAAAACGGCCTCGATCTTGGTTCCACTCGTCTCTGACCCGTGACTTCAGTGGAAATTTCAAATTCAGGATCTGACACAGACTGATTCATGTCCTAGACAGTTCTTACAAGTTCATAGAAATGTCTGTTGAATTAGAACCAAGTATTTGAGTTGATGATTGTAATTTTTATACAATGTTGTAATTTGTGTTTCAACAATTTTTTGATTAATGTTTTGTTTCCTTTACAATATTATGCTTTAATGTATAATATTGTAACAGAAACAAAACAGGAAACAAAACATCAATCAAAAAATTGCTCTCTTTTTTATCTGAGTTACTGTGGTACGACATTATCTCCTCTTTCATAAAGGATGCACCAGTGCCTCCTCTAGTAAATTAGGTAATAAAAGAACAAAATTAGTATTTAGAGGACTCTGATCATGACTGCAGATACTTCAGGGCAGGGGTCTCAAAACCTAAATGAGCTGTGGGCAAATGCTGGCACTGTCATCTCATGTGAGCACCACTTTAGTGTTCAAGTAGTACAAAACAAACAAACAAATAAGAAAAAACCCATTAATATTTCCAAAAATGTAGTGTTTGTTTTTTAAACTTTCAAATATTGTAGAACAAGACAAAACTGCAAACGTGAACGCATTTTTATTTTCTTCTCACTCTTAACTGAAGCTGCGAGTCCTAGTTCTGCCCTGGTCCTCCTCCATTAGGACATGCCTAGAAAAACCTCAGTTTGGAGGCATCCTTGTAAGATGCATGAACCAGCTCAGCTGCCATCTTTTGATACGGTAGTACTCTAAGCCTAAATCATAATATAAAATGAGTAACAGTAGGGTGGACATTAGGTAAGGCTGCACTTTTTGCAGCGATCTTGTTTAGAAAACTATTTCTGTATCAGTAATATGTTTTCTTTTTGTCTGTTAATAATCATGTGAAACTGCACATGCTTCAGCAGCTGGAGCCCAAACTCCTCTCCTGTCATAAAGGCCACCTGGTGAATAATTCCTCATATCCTGTATCTGATTGGTCTGTGGGAATGTGTCAATTTTAAAGTTTAAAGATCAGCAAATATCTGACCTCACAGTTTTCTCCCTCTCTTTTCACACACGCAGTGTTTCAGATATTCATAAATACATTCTTCTGAATATTAACTTCTGCTAAATAGGCAAAAGGTAAAGTCTGATGAAACTAAGTCTCTTTCATTTTAGTAAAAGAACATCAACAAACTTATCTGATAAGAGTAGTAGGAGGAGTTCATTCTCTCATACTTTCCATCCTGTTCATCCACTTTTCTGTTAGCCACGCCCCCACAGGTAAACCAGCAAATCACTGCCTCCGTTCTCACAAACGTCTGATCTGTGGCCGGTCGGACTTCATTCCACAGATGTGCTTTAACAAAGTGTGAAGCTGAACTCTGAGCTGTGACAGTGAAGCAGTGTGAGAGTGTCAGTAGATGATCAGCAGAGGAAAGTGAAGCTGCTGTGAGCTGATGTCCTGAAGGGCTTTTAAAGAGTCTCTGAGTTTGACAGGAACATGAAGATGTTTGTGGTGTTTGTGATCCTCCTGCACGGTAAGTACACCTTCCTCTCTCTGCTCTCATCATCAGCTTTTCTTTCATCTCTCTCTCTTTAATGTGTTGAAGTGCAGCAGGAGGAGATTTCCATCAAACACTGGATTCTGATTCAGATCAAACTAACAATCCAAAGCAGCAACTTTCAAATCTCTGGATTCTTCTTGGTGCCTTTCAGATGAGCTCATGTTACAATCAGCTGTGTGTGTGTGTGTGTTTGCTTCCTGTGTTTTTTGCACTGTCCTATGAATGAATCAGATTCCTGGATACCATCCAAAAACTGAAGAAGTCAGTTGGACGAGTGATGATTCACTTCTGCCACTGAAAACGCTACGTATAGATGAACCGAATCAACTTTTTGGGTTTTCCTTATTCTCTTTAATAGGACTGCATCATCTGTTTTTACTTCAATACCTTTAATAACCTCTCCTTTGTCAGGTATTTTTAATCTGTCTACATCCTTGTAGAAAAGTTAACATAAAGTGTGTATATTGGAAACAATTAGCTTCTCATAAGAAGCATCTGATCCAGACTTTAATACTCTGCCTGAACACAAAATGTGTCTTTGGACAGCAGCAGGAAAACCCAATGGTCCGACAGCCGTTGCTGTTATACTTCTTCACCGTGTGATGAAGACATTTATTTCAGGTCTGAGTGGACCTGAGAGGCTGGTACAAGAGGCAGGATTTTAGTTTAGTGAGTTTCTGTCAAGTTACCTCAAAGTGTTCTGGAAAAAGCAGTTCTCTGAAAAAGTTCATTAGGAAACAGTGAAGCTCCATCAATCTGCAATCAGTGAGAGCCTCTGTAGCTTTATACACACAGTCCATAGTGAAAAACTACATTTCTATGTCATATATAGATTCTTAAGAACCACGGGATTCCTCCTTTTATTGATTTACTTTATATAAGATAGTTTCACTGTCATTTTTATCTCTTTTGTTTCTTGTTGCTGTCAGAGGATTTAACTCTGCTGGTGTTGCTGCTGCAAAAACGTCCGAGACCGCGACACCAGCTGCTGTTGTAGTCAAGAATTCATCTGTGAGCTGTGATGCTGATATCTGTTAAGTCTGACACAGCTCTAAATCGACAGAAATTCATAATGTTTTAGTTGGATATGCATTTTGTACAATTGTTTGTAGACAAAGGTTTTTGAGATTTTAAACCCCACTCTGCACAGTGGGGACGTGGACGCTGGTATGGTTTGGCTGCCGCTGCTCTCTCTATACTTAGAGCTTGGTATACTTAGACTAGCTTGTTGTATCGTCTGCACCTGTGCCTGTAATGGCTGCATGGTCTGGTGTGTTGTGCTTCATTGTCTTAGCTGTTTGGCCTGTGTTCTCTTGGCCATTTTTACTGTCACTTGTTGGCTAAATCACTGGCATTTACTGTCCACATGATGAGCTTTCTCCAAAGGGTAGCTGGCCGGCCTCTCCCTTAGAGATAGGGTGAGGGGTTTAGCCTTCCAACAGGGGCTCAGAAGGGGGCTGCTGCTCCTCCATTTCAAAAGGAGACAGTTGAGGTGAACTATGATGCCTTCTGGAGATCTCCTGGTTAAGCTATTCCAGACATGTCCAACTGGGAGGAGGCCCCAGGGTAGACCTAGGACATGGTGGAGAGATTATATCTCTCAGCTGGCCTGGGAACGCCTTGGTGTTCCCTAAAAAGGCTGGAGAAAGAAATGGATAGATACTATAATTATAAAAGGATTATAATGCTCAACCTTTCCAAAAGAAATATGAAACATTGTCTTGCAACAAAAAACATTCAAGAAAGAAGACAGAAAGTGAGGCTTGGACTCTATGGATAATGGTGACGTATGTTTTTGACACTGAAAAAATAAAACACTGCTAATATCCTTATTCAAAAATCTTTCTCTCACTTTCGCAACCCTTGGCCGTGCGCTACGTCCGTTTTTTTTCCTCCTTCTCCATGACTTGGCGTGGTACTGAAATAGAGAGACACGAGCCTTCGCTGACACGGCCCCATAGACCCACCCATCTCCTGTAGCTCAAGACTGAAGCTCAAGTTTTTATAATTTTCACTCTTTAACAATTAATTTTCTAACAAAAGAGTTTTAATCAATTTAAAAAAAACTTAGTTATCCTTCATCCTTCAGCTGTCTCAGCCTCTTCAGCTTCCAGAGAGAAACATGTATAATGCCTGGTTTTGCCAATCCAATCAGTCCATTTTTGTAAGTTTAGCTTGTGTTATCTTGCCCTGCTCAGTATCTGAGAGAATGTTTTGGAGGAATAGTGTTTCTCTTCACTGCTGCACAGAACTGATGATATTCTGATTCACGGTGCACTGAGGTTATTCAGGGTGCAGCCTGTTCACTCATTTTAAAATGTAAATAACAAAGAGTTCGTTCCTTGAATTTATGTTTCTGATTACATTTAGTATTTCTTGTTTTTTAGTAAATTTGGTTTCTTTCTGTTTGTGCTCAGTTTCCCAGTATACCACATTGGCTGTTGTGGTAGAAGTTTATGAGGGAGAAAGATCTGTCCTCCTGCCCTGCCTGTACTCAGGTTTCATACCTGAGGACTCCACAGTTATCTGGACTCTCAATGATCTTGTTCCCAAACCTGTCCACCTACGAGGAAAAGGAGGAGATGATCTTAATGGGCAGATCCAGCAGTACAAAGGGCGCACATCAATGAATCCCTATGCTCTCATCACAAAAGATTTCACCCTTACTCTGAGAAGGCCAACAAAGACTGACTCCGGCAACTACACCTGCTCCATCAGTGCAGGAGAAAGTGAACGGAGACTGAGAAGCATCCAACTGCATATCAAAGGTCAAACCCTAAAACCTGCTGTACTTATTGGTCAGAAGTCAGTGCTGCAGACAAAGGTCAGGCAAAGCTGAAGATAACTAAATTGTTCTAAATGTCTTGATGAAACCAGCGCAGTAAGAAACTAGGACTGCTGTGGAAGCCACACCAAAAAGCTGAGCTCAGTCACTCAAAATATGACCTTTTACACATCAGCCAATTTGAAACATTCAGAATTTCCTTTCCTTAGATGTGTCAGAACAAGTGATGTGTTGATAAGCAGGTGATTTAATGCCCATAATATTCATTGTGATCCCTCACCCATTTGTGAGTGTAGCAATATTACATAAATTCCAGTTACAATAGAAAACAAAAAGAGCCAAAGACTGTTTTGGTACATTATTAATGTTTACAGAACAGAATCAAAGATCAGGAATGTGGATACTGAGCCAAGCTCCATTTACAATCAGTGTCAGTGCAGCTGATTCTACGGTTGTTTTCTTATCCTCTCAGACCAGCAGGTGGACATGAAGGTGGAGGTAGGCTCACAGTCTGTCATCCTGCCCTGCAAAACAAAACCTAACATACCCGAGGCCACCAGAGTGGAGTGGACTCGCTCTGACCTCGGACTCATGGTGGTCCATGAGTATTCAAATCAAAGTGGCCAACTTATGACTCAGGATGAAGTTTACAGAGACCGAACGAAGATGAATGAAGACCTGCTGAGAACTGGGGACCTCAGTCTGACCCTGAAACAGCCCACAGAGAGAGACACAGGACGATACATCTGCACCATCTACAGGGACAAAGACATCCTCAGATGGAAAGTAGTGCTGCAGGTCAAAGGTCAGTGCTGTACTTACAGGTCAGAGGTCAATGTTGTGGACACAGGTCAGAAAACTTTTCATTTTCTTTTCATCACAGAACGGTTTCCATCCTGGGCCACAGCTCTCCTGGTTCTCCTGATTCTTCTTGTTATTTCCGCGGTTCTATTATTTCATTTGCGACACTATTTCATGTCAGGTGAGTGTCTCCTACTACACTACCCATAATGCAGATGGTCAGCAGGTGTCCTCTGGTGGCTCCTTGACTGTGGCTCACACAAACTTGTTCCAGAAGCTGAAAGAGTTGAGAGTTACAAACAGCTGATACAGAGAGCTGAAGAGAAACTTCCAGGTTTGTTCCAGAAGTCAGAAAACCTCCTTCAGACTCAGTCATTGATCAGTGAAACAGCTCCACAGCATGACTTTACTAAACAGTGTGTGTGCTTCACTGCATTGATCTGACACAGAGGCTGCATGTGGACAAGCTGTTCTTCTTCTGTGGTGGTAAACAGCAGCTGACATGGAAACATGTGCTGACAGTAAATGTTGCAGCAGCTTCAGTAAATGTTCCTCCTTGAGTTGTGCTCAGTCATGTGGTGGAGAGCTTCAGATGTTCAGACACATGAGATCTTCATGGTTTCTGTGCTCATGTGTGTGAGACATGGCCGACTGTGGAGGCTCAGTCTGTCTGTTCTTCTTCATCCAACATGTCTGCAGCACTTTACAGGATGCTGCAGACGAGTTACCAAAGAACGAGTCAGGAACAAACTGAGACACAATCTGACTGAGACTAGAAGACAAGGAGGGACAGGGAGGTCATGTGACCATCCTGTTGTGCTTTGTTGTTCCCTCAGGTTACAAGGTGGTGGTGGTTTCAGGGGAGGAGTCTGTCCGGCTGCCATGCAAAGCTATAGTCAGATTCCTTAAAGACATTAAAGTGGAGTGGACAAACAGAGACAACAGGAAGATCCACATATATGAGAACGGCTCTGATCAGCCTGGAGAACAGGACGAGGTTTATAAAGACCGAACAGAGATGAAGACAAACTTGCTGAAAACTGGAGACCTCAGTCTGACTCTTGAATATCCCACAGATGAAGACACAAACACCTACACCTGCCGCGTCTACAGTATGAAGGGAGACATCTTGTTAACAAAAACTGTGAAACTCGGTGTCAGAGGTCAGTGCTGTTGTCATTGGGCAGAACGTAGTTCATTTTTATTTGTATTTCATATGATATACATTTATGAGATTTTCAAGACTAATTTTCCTCAAATATTTTAACCTTCAACTCAATACAGTTCCTCAGTGATTTAGAAAGGCAGAGTTTATTGATTAGCAGCAAGTTGGTTGAAATTTACCAGCATAAAGCTAAAGGAGCATTTCTTAGAACATGTAGAAAATGAGACAACCCATATGGAAAAGATATATATATAAATCTTATAAAGTTTGTATCTGTCTTGTGTGAAACTTGTATGAAAAGCATATAAGATCCCTTGAAAAATTAAATAATGAAACTTGTATGTTTTGGATACTTACTAAAACGATGTATGAAAGTAATGAGAAAGTGGCCACTTTCATGAGTAATCACATATAAGTTTTTACTATTTCTTTTCCATATGGGAATGACGGTTTGTAAAAGTTTTTCAGCAAATTTGAAAAAGGATGATTAACATTATCTCATGGATTAGTAAATGACACACATATATGTATATACACACACACACACACACACACACACACACACACACACACACACACACACACATATATAGATAGATAGATATATCTATATATGTAGAACAACGTCTCTCTGAGATATTTATTTACGTACGGATACAAGAACTATTTCACACCACCTGTAAGAACTCTCTATAATGCAAAATATCTGTCTGGCAGAGAATCATCTGCACTTACATTTTTGCTGGAGTATGAAATGTTTTATTTAAATACTATTATTACTAATAATAAACATGCATAGCCAATTGATCTGTATCTGGAGCAGAAAGCCTAGCTAACAAAGAAAGTTGATGATCACTTTGTTAATAAACATGATCTCTGACTGGGGTCAGGTAACACAATTAAAGCCTGGATATCCTGAATTTGCTTCCAAGATGCCCCCAGGTAACTAGTTGTTTCCTGCAGTGAGCTACTTGATTCTCTTTCAAAGAACAACAACAAAGCTTGTCTCTGGACATGTGACAGTGATGTTGAGGTCTTTAAGAAACAGACAGCTGTGACGCTGATTGGAAAAACAACAAAGGCAATATTGTCTCTGTTCAGTGGCATAATCTGACTGATTAGTAAAATGTGTTTTGACTTGAAATATTTCACTTCAACTACTAAATGTAAATCATGCTCAGTGTTGCTGCTTTTTTCTGTATAGCTCATATTTTTGGTGTCCTCTCAGTTTACACAGTAGAGGTGGTTTCAGGGTGGAGACTGTCCTGTTACCCTGCAAAACCAGGACTAACCTGCCTGAAGATGCTAGAGTGGAGTGGATGGACAGTGACTATGAGAAGGTCCATGTTTATCAGAATGGCTTTGACCAGCTGGAAGAACAAGACCAAGATTATAAAGATCGAACACAGATGAATAAAGAACTGCTGAAAACTGGGGACATCAGCCTGACCCTGAAGTACCCCACAGACTGGGACACTGACATCTACACCTGCACCATCTACAGCAGGGAGGGAAACATCCTGAAAAAGAAACAAGTGAAGCTGAAAGTCAGAGGTCAGTGCTGTAGATCAAGCTCAGGGATCAAAGCAAAGTTAGTTTTCATTTGTACGTAGTTGTGGTAGCGGGTCTTGCCACTGTCGATGCTTTCAGTAAGGATAAGAGTCAAGTTGTGGTTTGCACACACTATAAATACTTCTAATTGTATATTTAACGTGCCTGGCTGTGGAGTGCCGACTGCTCACAAGCTCATGCGGATGTCTGCTGTGCAGTTTCCTGTATAAGAGGAAAAGGTTAATGAGCTATGGAAGACAGGTCCTTCAGTTTTACAGGCACTGTTTCACACCACTCTACAGCTGTGCAGTTAAAGCACGCCCCAACAGCCACATACCCAGGGTGAGCTAGAAATATGTTACAAGGATCCCAAACTCATCTGCCATTTTCTGGGCTTAAGAGAGAAACAGACTCCACTTGTTTGTGAGGTTACAGTTTTGTAAAAAGAACCTTGTGTCACATTATATAAGAAGAAAGCTCATTTTCTGCTTTGTTGTGCTGTCAGGTATCAAGGTGAACGGGGTTTCAGACAGCGAGTCTGTCCAACTGCCCTTCACAACCACAGAAAATCTGCCTGAAGATGTAAAAGCAGAGTGGATAGACAGAGAGAACAGGAAGGTCAACGTGTATAAGAACGGTTCTGACCAGGTTGGAGAACAGGACGAGGTTTACAAAGACCGAACAGAGATGAAGAGGAACCTGCTGACAACTGGAGACCTCAGTCTAACTCTGACATACCCCACTGACTGGGATGGAAAGACCTACACCTGCACTGTCTACAACGGACAGGGAAACACCCTGATGAAGAAACAGGTGGAGCTTAAAGTCCAAGTCAGCGTGTGCTTGAAATCTGAACGCCATTTTTGACATTGATTTCTGCATCCATTTTCTTTTGCCTAATTAGTTCAGAGCAGAGGTAGGTGGGTGCCTGTAGCTTACCCCAGCTACCATGGGGCAGGAGGTGGATACACCAAGGATAGGTCGCCAATGTGTTGCAGGTCACAATCTGTTGTTAACACAGAGAGACAGACAACCATTCACATTCACATTTATGGGCAATTTAGAAGCTAACCAAACAATAATATCTTTGACCTGTGGGAGGAAGCCAGAGTACAGACAGTACAGACAGAACCCACGCAGACAGAAAAAAAAAAGCAAAATCTTCACAGACAGACCCCAGCCAGGCGGTGGAGTCAAACTCAGGCAACAGTGCTAACCTTCTCGCCATTACCCACTTAATTTCTCAAATCATTTAAGCATATTAAAGGTGGTGCTTGATTCTTATATCACATTAGTGATGGTACGTCTGTCTGTGGTGTGGATCCAAACAGAAAAATAACTGTTAATAAACTTCTCAGTGGGCAGTGGCCTCGGGGACTGTCTGGAAGTGGGAAGCAGCCCAGCCAATGATTCAGTTTGCTTTGAGGAAACAGTCCATCTGATGTTATCAGATCATCAACTTGAAGGAATTCATTTGATTTGACTGAATTCGATTTCAGTGATGCTGTTTGACCTTGAATCTTTTTTAGAAATACAAATGTTCCATTTTATATCTACGACAAAAAGACCAGACAAAAGCTCCACACTGACAGGAGAAATTGCTGTAAAGTAGGAAATGGACAAAAATAGCACCATCAGTCTCTGATCATCTCTAACATTTTGAACTTGTTTTCACTTTCTAGATATCTGTCATGTTACCTTCTACTCTCATATGCTTCTGTCCCTCAGTTTTCTCTACAACACTGAAAGCCAGCTGCTGTCTGAACAGCTCATGTTGTCTTTGTTGTTGTCTCAGTCTGTCAGGTGGAGGTGGAGGAGGGGTGGAGTCTGTCAAGCTGCCCTTCAAAACAACAGAAAACCTGCCCGAAGATGCCAAAGTGCAGTGGAAGGTCAGTGGTGATAGGATGGTCCATGTGTTTAAGAACGGCTCTGACCAGCCTGAAGAGCAGGACCAGTTTACAGAGACCGAACGAAGATTAATAAAGACCTGCTGAGAACTGGAGACCTCAGTCTGACCCTGAAACAGCCCACAGAGAGAGACAGTGGAGAATACAGATGTAAAGTCTACGGAAGATCAATAGATACAAAAAAGTACTGCTCAAAGTCAAATCACAGGTTGTTGTTTTTTCCTTTGATTCTTGTATGTATGTGTTGTTGTTGTTGTTGTTGTTTTTAACTAGAATCCTAAAATATGTTGATATACACATGTGTGATAGAAAACATTTTAAACTTGACATGAAGACATTTGGATCAGGAATAAGTTGGCTTGTTTTTATATTTATTTACGTGTGTGTGTGTGTGTGTGTGTGTGGATAGATAGATAGAGATCAATTTGGCTCAAAGTAATTAATATGGTGTGCATTTATAGTTAATTCAGGTGTTTTCAGTTACTTAAAACAATTAAAAAGAAAGGAGTTAAAATAAGCAATTTGTAAGATTTAAAGTAATTGAAATTTATTCTTGCTAAGTGGAGCTCGACAATTATTACTGCTTCATTCCTAAACTTAGAGTCTAAAGACCATTTATTTATTAATTTATTGAAAAAAGTTAGTACAGCAAGCCATAAAATAAACGATAAAAACCCAACAAAAAACAGAGCCATTCATAACTCTGCACCATCTATGTTCAGAGTTGAGGCTCAAATCGGCTCAAAGTGTCCCATTTCACTGATTGTTTCCCGACGACATGCTTCACGTGTGATATGGATCCTCTGCTGAAGGAATCTGCTTTCTATCCACAACCTGTTGATCCGTGTCTGACTAACAGCAGCGCAGGAAGCCCTGCAGTTACAGAGAAACTGTCTGAGTCCCATCCAGTCAATGCTGCTCAGTGTTGCTGCTGCTGGCTGTTCAGCTCATTTCTTCTTGTTCTATTCTCATCCCCAAAGTGGAGGTGGATTCAGGCATTGAGTCTGTTCAACTGCCCTTGAAATCAAAGCTCACCTGCCCAAAGACATTAAAGTGGAGTGGAAAGATGGTTCGTACAGAAAGATCCACATATATCAGAACGGCTCTGATCAGTTTGAAGAACAGACAAGGTTTACAGAGACCGAACAGAGATTGATGAAGACCTGCTGAACACTGGAGACCTCAGTCTGACCTTGAAATACCCTACAGACTGGACACAAACACCTACACCTGCATCCTCCTCAGCAGGGAGGGAAAGATTCTGCTGAAGAGAAAGGTGAGCTGAAGGTCAGAGGTCAGTGCAGCCTCGTGTAAGCATGTATGCAAAATCTAAGGTCCATTTTTGGCATTGATTTCTTGCAATATGAGCCTAACTGTGACGACCAGATTTGTCAGTACTTCGCAGGGACTTGTTCCATACAGAAGAATATCTGATGAAGTAGAACTTAAAAATACCAATACACATGATCACTGCAAAAGTATATTAAATGAAATCCAGATACTATAAGCTGTGAACAGTGGTTTATTCTATTATTCTTGAACAAAATACAGAGTACTGCACAACACTGAAGTCCAGGCTTTGTTAGCTGAGATTTAATTAGACTATTACCACAGCATCTGCAGCCATTATAATTGGGAGCCAAGAACACTGTGAAGGCCCTCTTGATCTGCTCCATTTATTATTTATCCTTTTTGCGGTCCTTAACATGCTTCAAAAATACATGAAATTTGCACATGCTCAGGCCTGGTTGACATATTTATTGATTCATACATGGGCATTTCAAGATGGCTCTAGAACACCACCTATACAGGATGTATGAATTCCTCAGAGACACACTTGAACATTCACACATACACATACATATGCCACCTGTAAGATTTCAACAATAACAACAACAACAACAAAAATCAGCCCAGGCACTAGGAGGTGATGCATCCATATGTGTCTGCCATGGACCCAGACCTACAACTCCATCCAGCTTTCCTGCACCCCTTTGATAGTCCTAGTTCACAATGGTGCCTGCATTTTTATTTCATCTGAAATATCTGGCCCCTTCTAGTGTTGCCTCCCAAATCTTAGCCACTCTCTTAGATGTTCTTGAATTGACTGGAGTTAGCCCTCTCAGTGCTCCTAATCTTCAGTTCCTGGATAGGTGGCTCTAAAGTGCTGCCAAAGTCCATTTCTAACTTGACTGAAGTAATTGCTGTCCCACACTGTCTTCCTCTCTCACCCAACTGGTGCAGCAGATGGCCCCACCCCTCCCTGAGCCTGGTTCTGCCGGAGTTTCTTCCTGTTAAAAGGGAGTTTTCCTTCCCACTGTCACCAAAGTGCTGCTCATAGGGGTCATATGATTGTTGGTTTCTCTCTCTCTACTGTACACTAAAAAAAACCCACTTTAAGGCGATGTTGTTGTGATTTGGAGCTCTATAAATTGAATTGAATTGTCAGAGGTGGAGTTTAGCAACTAGTCCATATCATGATGGACAGATGGCACGTACACAGGCTGGCCAGACGATGCAATTCTTGGTGACATCTGTACCTTTGGAGGAAAGCTCCAAGTTTGTTCCATCTGTGTCTAAGATCTTGTGAATTATTCTTGTGATAGGGTGAATCTCTTCTCTTCATCTTCGTCTGACTCCTGAAATCAATAGTAACAGTACTCTCTGTCTGAGTTTTCTATCTCTAAGTCATCAGTTTTCTCCTTCTTTTCCTGTCCCAGAAAATCTCCCATTCACTCTCATTCCCACAGATCCACTGTGGTTCTTCTTCTTGCTTCTTCTATCTCTTCTGTTTTGTTCTGAAATCTCATGTTGCTGTAGCCACTTGTACTTTTTCTCTTTTTCTGGGATTCTTTGCACCTCACTGTAGTCTCTGACAACTGGTGAGTGATGGGTTTTTCTCCATTCTACCACTGGCAGCATGTCCACTAAAGATAACGCTCCTGATGATAGAGTGCTAAAATTGTGTAACTTCAGTTCGCTGACAAAGCTGAATATAAATGTGGAGCCATAGATGTGGCCTCTACAGATGCTGGTCTGGCTTCAGTCACCTTGAGACTCTGACTTTGTGTTGGATGATGCTGCCTCTTCCTTTTAATCATCGTTTGACACACTGTTGCTATTATCACCAGAAGATCTCTCTTATTATCAGCTTTCCTCGGACCCCAACGTTTTCTTCCTCCTTCTTTCCATGCGACATGTGCCTTATCATGTTCCTCTTTGGTCTTGATGTAGGCACCCAGGCTGTAAACACTTTTATTGCATGTGGCAAAAACAGTTTAACCCGATTGGTCAAAACGTTGGACGAAGCCTTTAGACGCCATGTCAGCCTCATGATTCATCTTCTGCACCTTTCCAGCATCTCCCTGTATGAGACGTCTCTTCTCGCGTCACCATGGCAACCATCGCTTGTCATCCAGTCAGGCTTGTAGAGAGAGAGAAGGGGAAAGAGAGCATTCCTAACAGCAGAATTTATAGCCCTGTTTTTCTCTAGGAGAGTCCACCTTAAATCTTTATGCTTTCTGGTGCCATCACCATCCAGGCAGACCATCCACCTCAAATTCCTTCTCCCTGTTCATATCTGTTAGTGTCTAACAGTCTAAATCCAAAACTATTCTACAAAACATATCTCTGTGCAGTAAAGAATGAAACAAATGTGTGATACAATTGTGAGGTCATTGCATAAAATACAATAATGGGGCTATGTGAGCCTTAAAGATAAAAATAAACATTATTGTCCTACAGATTTCTCTATAGCTCTGAACCTGCTGTCTGTCTGTCCTGTGTTTGTTGTCCTCTCAGTCTGTCAGGTGGAGGTGAAGGAGGGGGCGGGATCTGTCCAGCTGTCCTTCAAAACAACAGAAAACCTGCCCGAAGATGCCAAAGTGCAGTGGAAGATCAGTGGTGAAAGAATGGTCCACGTGTATGAGAACGGCTCTGACCAGCCTGAAGAACAGCACCAGTTTTACAGAGACCGAACGAAGATGAATGAAGACCTGCTGAGAACTGGAGACCTCAGTCTGACCCTGAATCACCCCACAGAGAGAGACAGTGGAGAATACAGATGTGTAGTCAAAACAGAGGAGATCAAGAGATACAAAACAGTATTCCTCATAGTCAAAGGTTTGTTTGTTTGTTTGTTTGTTTGTTGTTGTTTGTTTGTTTGTTTGTTTGTTTGTTTGTTATTTTCATAGTTCCTGTCTGACTGTCTGTGTCTCCTCTGCAGGGAGAGTTCAGGTCCAGGATCAAACAGGGGACATCAGGAACAGAAGCAGCTCCATTGATCCGACTCCTCTGATGGCTGATCAATCAGTTTGATCTGTGTGTTCTTTGATTATTGATCAGTGATGTCAGAGTGGAGTCAGTGTGATGTTGTTGTTGTGTGTTTGAGACTTTTAGTGTCCATGAAGGTCTCTGCTGCCGTAGATCCTCTGAACTGTGACAGAGGTCTCACTCTGGAGGAAACTCTCAGCACTTTCATTTTATTTACAGCACTTGAGATTATTTATTTATTTATTATTGATTATGATCGTGGCTCAAGAGTTGGGAGTTCGCCTTGTAATCGGAAGGTTGCCGATTCGAGCCCCGGCTTGGACAGTCTCGGTCGTTGTGTCCTTGAGCAAGACACTTCACCCGTTGCCTACTGGTGGTGGTCAGAGGGCCCGGTGGCGCCAGTGTCCGGCAGCCTCGCCTCTGTCAGTGCGCCCCAGGGTGGCTGTGGCTACAATGTAGCTGCCATCACCAGTGTGTGGATGTGTGCGTGAATGGGTGGATGACTGGATATGTAAAGTGCTTTGGGGTCCTTAGGGACTAGTAAAGCGCTATATAATACAGGCCATTTACCATGAGAGATTTTTTTTTTAAACTAACTTGGAAAAATACCTGTTTTAAAGAATATCTGCAGCATCACATTAATGTAAATGTGCCTTCACTTTAGTTATAAACCCAATCATAGTGTTAAAGTATTAAAGGTGTTTGTCTCAAACTGACCTGTGACCAGCTCCACTCAGTATGAGCTGTTCACTGTTTCTCTTTGTTTATTGGTTGGATCTGCACACAGAGGTCAAGACTGATATTTTTTACATTTTGTATTTTTATAATGATAAACTGTGAAGTAAAAACTTTGCTCACAATCACAGTCTTCACCAGAGTAACATCAAAGCAGTAATCTTTGCCAAGTGTCCGCCATAGTAAATCCAGTTCACTGTGTATTTCTGCCTTACCCTTGTACATATTACCCCAGTCCCAAGTATACTTGTGTAGTTAATTCCCATGTGATCATTGTTATCACTGCCTACACTTAGTCACTGTTTCACTCCACCTGTATATAGCAACTGAACTCCACACCAGTGAGTATTCACGTTTTTCACTTTTTCACTAATAAATACCTGACACACACATCTGGTGCCCGTGTTGTATCTGTTTTGGGTCTATACGGCTCACACCGTGACAAAGACTTCAACACTGCATCTAAATGCTGAAGTACTTTTTACTCTGGCGTTTACAGAAAGAACTGTTTGAAGAAACGTAATGTACAGAGAGAAAATCTCCTGAACTCAACCTTTACTACAATCTCTGTGGACACGGGCAACTGGAGACCTGATGGTCCGACAGGCGTTCCTGTTATACTTCTTTACAATCAGAGTCAACAGTAGAGAAATCTGACTGTGCTTCAGCACAACAAGAATAAAAAGCATTTCAAAAATGCTGCTGATGCACTTTAAATGTCGTCTGAGCAGAGAATCACTTTGCTTTGCTGTGTAGTGTGGGACAGCACAAAAGCACTGAGGACTCTTTTGTTGGTATTTAGAGAATTCAGACAGCTCTGACCCTTCAATCTCACTTCACTCGGTCTAAAACATTTATAACGGATCATTTATTTTCCCATTATACTGCCTGTATCCACCCACTGAAAAATGGACGTGGATGGTTCATTGACTGCAAGCAGGCTGGTTGCCATGTGTGCCAGAATAGGGAAGCAGGAGAAATCTAAAAACCTGCAGATCACTCAGTTTCACTTCAGCTCTTTGTATGTTGGCTGGTAGATGGTACAACAACAGCACAGACAGGAGTGGCCCACAGACTGACCACGTTTACTGTTTCTCTTCATTTATTGGTTGGATCTGCACAGGGACTACAGATGAGGCCAAATCTGATATTTGTACATTTTATATTTTTATAATGATAAACTGTGAAATAAAAACTTGATAAGGTTTCATCTGATCAGTGTTGTTCTTCCTCTGTGGTGTTTCTGATGCTTCTGATGTGTTTGGGGCTGAATGTGGGCTTCAGGAAAGTTTGATTTAAGACTTTTTAAACCTCATAACATCACAGAGAATTAAAATTAGGACCAATTTAAAAAGTTTGACAGAAACTTTGGCATGTATGTCTACGCTTTGTTTCTGTCCTTTGGTTCACTAAATGCCTCACAGCCTGCAGAAACAAACTGTCTCACACATATGAAGTTTATTTGCACATAGACAAAAGCATTTTCTTCCTCTACACCGATTTAACAGGAGAAATTGGATTAGAACTTTGAGTCCACTTCAGGAGTGACGGCTGCCACAGTGCCCTGCTTACCTGACCTCTGCTGGATTGTTGGTTCAGGCCACATAACACCAGGTTATCATGTCAGATCTTTATTTCACATGAACCCACAGAGACTTTAAATCAGCAGGAATCCAGATGAAGCCCTGAAACAGCAACATGACCTCATTGATGGGCAGCTAACTTGGTGTTGAGGAGTTTGCCTCAGGGCTCCTCTGCTCAGACGCCAGCATGCTGTCTCCAAACCAGGACAAAACATAGAAACCTGTCTGTGGCTGTGTATCCAGCGCTGGGCCACGGTATGTATGTAGTATGTGGACAGGGTGAAATGTACCGTGGTACTCCTTTTCCCACTCCACAGGTTATCAGGTATGTTGGAGTTGTCCACCTCAGTATCAGGCTCAGAGCTGCTGAATCCTGTCATAAAGGCCACCTGGTGAATAATTCCTCATATCCTGTATCTGATTGGTCTGTGGGAATGTGGTGATTTTAAACTTTAAAGATCAGCAAATATCTGACCTCACAGTTTTCTCCCTCTCTTTTCACACATGCAGTGTTTCAGATATTCATAAATACAATCTTCTGAATATTAACTTCTGCTAATTAGGCAAAAAGTAAAGTCTGATGAAACTAAGTCTCTTTCATTTTAGTAAAAGAACATCAACAAACTTATCTGATAAGAGGAGGAGTGCAGTTTCCTCATACTTTCCATCCTGTTCATCCACTTTTCTGTTAGCCACGCCCCCACAGGTAAACCAGCAAATCACTGCCTCCGTTCTCACAAACGTCTGATCTGTGGCCGGCCGGACTTCATTCCACAGATGTGCTTTAACAAAGTGTGAAGCTGAATCTGAGCTGTGACAGTGAAGCAGTGTGAGAGTGTCAGTAGATGATCAGCAGAGGAAAGTGAAGCTGCTGTGAGCTGATGTCCTGAAGGGCTTTTAAAGAGTCTCTGAGTTTGACAGGAACATGAAGATGTTTGTGGTGTTTGTGATCCTCCTGCACGGTAAGTACACCTTCCTCTCTCTGCTCTCATCATCAGCTTTTCTTTCATCTCTCTCTCTTTAATGTGTTGAAGTGCAGCAGGAGGAGATTTCCATCAAACACTGGATTCTGATTCAGATCAAACAATATGACTGCTGGAAGTTTCAATAACTACGTACTTTATCAAAATTTTTCATAGTTTACCATGTTTCTGTTTAGCTCTTTGTTCATTAATTGTAGTTCTTTCACATGTTTGGTTACAGTGTTGTACTGTGCAGTTTCAACCGGAGATATTACTTTAATTCCTCTTTAACTTTTCACGCATTAGCTTTAATTAGCTTCGTGAGTCATTTCTAGTCTGCCTACGTCAGTGTAGAAACATTTATACATACGCAAAATAAACTGTGCCCATTAGAAGCAGTTAGACACTGATAAGATTCAACTGGTTCAGACTTAAAACTAAACCTTTATTCTAGTCTTTGTGCACACGGGCAGCTGGAGACCTGATGGTTCAACAGTTGATCCTGTTACAGTTCAATAAAATGCTAAATGTAACTTGTCTGTGGACATCCGTGTGTTTACCATGTGATGAAGAGATTTATATGAGGTCTGAGTGGCCCTGAGAGGCAGGATTAGAGGGTTAATGAGGTTCTGTCAGGTTCAACTCTGAGTTCAATGAAATGAAGTGATCCACTTCATACCAGTGTCAGAACTAGAGATCAAAGTTCTCTGGAAAACAGTGAAGCTCCATCACCTCCAAACAGTGAGAGCCTCTATGGTTTTTATATAGATTCCACACTGAAAAAATAAAGATGATTTATTTTTTATATGGAATATAGAGTCTTAATAACAGCATAATTCCTCCTCGTATTGATTTATTTTACATAAAATCAGCTTCCTTATTATTTTTCATCACTTTTGTTACTTGTTTGCTGTTGAAGAATTTAACTCTGCTGGGTCAGAGAGCACAGTACCAGCTGCAGTCACAGTCGGGCGTCCCTCTGTGAGCTGTGATGCTGATATCTGTTAAGTCTGACACTGGCTGTGAATACACGGTCACATAAACAGACATTCATGAGGTTATTGTTATTATTTGTAGACCAATGTTTTTGAGATATTCACACATACATGCTTCTTCTGAACAATGACTTCAACCAATCAAACAGTTATTAATATTGTTATGTTATGTTCTCTGGCCCTGGAGGCCGCAAACGCCGACGCAGAGGGAGAAGATCGACGTCTGGTTCGACGAGACGGCGCACTTACAGACCACCGTTACCCAGTTTATACTGGCTAATATGCAGTCTCTGGAGAACAAGCTGCGAGCTTCGGGCACGGATCTCATTCCAGCGAGAGATGCGGGACTGCTGCGTGATCTGCCTCACAGAAACTGGCTATCGGACAAAGTACCGGACTTCGCAATACAACTGCCGGGGTTCTCTGTGCACCGCGCGGACAGGTCACAGGATCTTACTGGGAAAAGCAGAGGCGGTGGTGTGTTTCATGATCAACAACAGCTGGGTGATTATGCGAACGTGCACCCGGTCAAATCCTCTGCTCACCGGACCTGGAGTACCTGATGATTAAGTGCCGGCCATTCTGGCTACCGAGGGAATTTACAGCAGTGATATTACGGCTGTTTACATTCCCCACAAGCCGACACTGACCGGCACTCAGGGAACTGTACAGCGCGATCACAGCGAGGAAACCGCACACCAGAGGCAGCGTTTATCACAGCCGGAGACTTTAATAAGGGAAACCTGAAGAAAGTCTCACCAAAACTCCATCAACACATTCCTTTTAACACACGTGGAAACCGGCTACTCGACCACTGTACACCTCTTTCCGGGATGCGTACAAAGCCCTCCCCCGCGCCCCATTCGGCCAATCAGATCACTGCTCCATCCTGCTCCTGCCCGCCTACAGGCAGAAGCTGAAACAGGAAGCTCCAACCCGGAGGCGGTGCACTGTTGGACGGACCAATCGGAGTCTGCGCTGCGGGACTGTTTTGATCACGCGGACTGGGAAATGTTTCACGTGGCCGCCAGAGACATTGATGAATACACAGACTCAGTCTGTGGATTTATCAGGAAATGCATGGAAGATGTCGTCCCATCCAGAACAGTCAATCCTTCCCAAATCAAAAACCCTGGATTAACGGCGCGGCACTGGCGGCACGGAACACCGCCTTTGCCTCCGCGAACACATCGGACTACAAACACGCACATTACCAACTCCGGAAGACGATCAAAGCAGCCAAACGTGAGTACAGGGACAGGGTGGAGCAACAGTTGACAACCCTCGGAGTATGTGGCAGGGACTAAACACGATCACAGACTTAGAGGGAAAACCAGCACACCGCAGACCACGGCCTCTCTGTGTGAGGATCTAAACGTATTCTACGCTAGATTCGACACAGCGAACACCATGAGACCGGACAGTGTGCGCACCGCGGATGACGTCAGTGCGCACACTGTGTCTGAGGAGGATGTGCGGAAGTGCTTCAGGAAGGTGAACGCACGCAAAGCTACTGGTCCGGACGGGATTCCCGGCCGCGTCCTCAGGTCATGCGCGGCTCAGCTGGCTGGAGTGTTCACACACATCTTCAACCTTTCCTCTCTCTGTCTGTAGTCCCAGCCTGCTTCAAAATGGCCACCATCGTCCCTGTACCCAAATCCTCCACCATCTCCTCATTGAACGACTGGCGACCTGTAGCCCTGACCCCCATCGTGAGCAAATGCTTCGAGAAGCTGGTAAGGGACTTCATCTGCTCTGCACTACCCGACTCACTGGACCCTCTACAGTTTGCATACCGCCACAACAGGTCCACTGATGATGCCATAGCCCTGACACACACACTGCCCTGTCACACCTGGAGAAGAGAGACACGTATGTGAGAGCTGTTGTAGATTACAGCTCAGCATTCAATACCATCGTTCCCTCGAAGCTGGACAGGAAACTGCAGGATCTAGGACTGAGCAGCTCCCTCTGCAGCTGGATCCTTAGCTTCCTGTCTGACAGACGCCAGGTGGTCAGACTGGGCAGCATCACCTCATCCCCCATCACACTGAACACTGGTGCTCCACAGGGGTGTGTACTGAGCCCTCTCCTGTACTCACTCTACACCTATGACTGTACAGCCACTAACAACTCCAACATCATTGTGAAGTTTGCGGACGACACTACAGTGGTGGGTCTTATCACCAACGTGATGAGACGGCTTACAGGGAGGAGGTCAGCGCCCCTGACCCACTGGTGTCAAGACAACCATCTCACCCTCAACGTCGCAAAGACAAAGGAGTTGATAGTGGACTTCCGGAGTGCAGAGAAGTACACACCCCATCACCATCAACGGCGCTGCTGTGGAGAGAGTGAGCAGCTTCCGGTTCCTTGGTGTACATCTGCTGAGGATCTTACGTGGTCAGTACACACAAACAAAACAGTGAAGAAGGCGCAGCAGCGCCTCTTCTTTCTCAGGAGACTGAAAAGATTCGGCATGAGCCCCGCATCCTCAGGACCTTCTATCACTGTGCCATTGAGAGCATCCTCACTGGATGCATCACCACCTGGTATGGCAACAGCACCGCCTACAACTGCAAAGCTCTCCAGCGAGTAGTGCGGTGCTCTGAACGGATAATTGGAGGTGAGCTTCCCTCCCTCCAAGACATCTACAGGAAGCGGTGCCTGAGGAAAGCGGGGAGGATCATCAAGGACTCCAGTCACCCCAGCCATAAACTGTTCAGACTGCTTCCATCAGGAAGGAGGTTCTGCAGCATCCGGTCCCGTACCAGCAGACTGAGAGACAGCTTTTTCCATCAGGCCATCAGACTGCTGAACACGTCATAGACACCTCAGCTTCACTACTGGAACTTCAACATTATGCACTCCACACTGTACATAATGCCACTGTTTTGCACATATTCAACTCTGTATATTTTTATATTTTATTATTATTATTATTATTATTATTATTTATTTTATTTATTTTATTTTATTATTATTAACTTTTAGTAAAAATGTGCATACACACACACACACACACACACACACACGAGGAAAATATTTAGTATACACATCCAGAAATGCATACACTATTATATATTGTACATATATTTATTAGTTTCAGGTTGGCCATTCTTGTATTTTGCTCGTTTGTGTTGTTGTTTTGCACATCTCTGTTGCTTGTGGGGCTCGCACACAAGAATTTCACTCGCATGTGCTGTGCCAGTGTGCCTGCACATGTGATGTGACAATAAAAGTGATTTGATTTGATTTGATTAATGTCCCTTATTGTTCAAAACAAAGTTACAGCAACATTTTTACAGATTAAACTAAAATGATTCTCCTTTATTGACGTTTACCTGCAAACATCAATAATCTAAATTCATTGCTGCCATTAAGTAATAGAAGAAAGCAACAGCAATAATTATTATTATAATAATAATACGTTTAATATGAAATATTTGAATAATTTAACATACGCTGAATCCAGTTTTAAAGTATGAACATAGATAAAAAAGTTTCAGTCCCACACGGGTGGGGGGTAAATTAAATAAGTTATTTATTTAAGCTGTTAAACCCCCAAACCAAAGAATAAAACATCTGTGAATCCAGCTTTTGGTTTTTCTTTCTCTTATCAGCACTTAAGGTTTAGGTGACGTCTCACTTAGTGTCTGTAGCCAAAAATCACATCTGAACAAAGACGATGCTGAACATTTCATTCATAGTTTCACTTTCAGCTGCACCACCCTCACAGCTGGATTTTGCCTCAGGTCAAAATAATCAAACACGAAGATACAAACATGCTTCTAGTTAATATAGATATATCAATAAAATCTCCACCAGACACCACTCACTGGTTTCTTGACTTTGATTTCTGTGAATCTTCAGTGTTAACATTTTGACCACTGCTGTGTTGTCTTTTTGTCTTTTCTTTTGTTCTTTGAGGCAGAACCCACATTACTGCGCCACACATGTAGCCTCCACAGCTTTAAGTTATTACACTAGAGTTCATCAAACAGAGTCAACAGTAGAGAAATCTGACTGTGCTTCAGCACAACAAGAATAACAAGCATTTCAAAAATGTACCTGCTGATGCACTTTAAATGTCGTCTGAGCAGAGAATCACTTTTGCTTTGCTGTGTAGTGTGGGACAGCACAAAAGCACTGAGGACTCTTTTGTTGGTATTTAGAGAATTCAGACAGCTCTGACCCTTCAATCTCACTTCACTCAGTGTAAAACATTTATAACGGATCATTTATTTTCCCATTATACTGCCTGCCCACTGAAAATGGATGTGGATGGTTCATTGACTGCAAGCAGGCTGGTTGACATGTGTGCCAGAATAGGGAAGCAGCAGCGTTCACCAGGAGAAATCTAAAAAACCTGCAAATAGTGGCTTCAGTGACACTGTTCCTGTCACTCAGTTTCACTTCAGCTCTTTGTATGTTGGCTGGTAGATGGTACAACAACAGCACAGACAGGAGTGGCCCACAGACTGACCACTGCCTCCATCTGACAACAGAGCTCTCTGCTGGTGTCAGAATCATTGTGCCGTAAATAAAAGTGACACTTTGACTGAACTCCCAGGAGTCAGAGTTCTGTAGATGAAGCACTCCAGTGTTATCCAACGTGAAACGAGGTGTAGTTGCCTCTGTCTGAATGTTATCATGGAAAACGGACTGGTTCTTATATACCACTTTTTAAACCTTTAAGTGCCTCAGTCACTTATTCATACAAGTATGAGTGTTTTCTATCAAACATTTGCACTCCGACAGATCACACATCACAGAGTAACTTGGGGTTAGTATCTTGCCTCCCCAGACTGGAGCAGCCCACAACAAACCAACAACATTCACTTGATTTGTGTTACTTCCAGTTTCCCAGCATGCTCTGGCTGTGGTGGTGGAGGTGAATGAGGGGGAAAGGTCTGTCCTGCTGCCCTGTCTATTCTCAGGTATTACACCTGAGGACACCACAGTGATGTGGACTTGCAGTGACCTCAATCCCAAATCTGTACACCAACGAGGCGAAGGAGGAGATGATCTTAGAGGACAAAACCAGCGTTACAGAGAACGTACATCAATGAGTCGTTATGCACTAAACACAAAAGACTTCAGTCTCACGCTGAGGAAACCCAAACTGACTGACAGCGGTATTTACACCTGCTCCATCAGCAATGGAAGACAAGAACGGAGACTCAGAGACATCCAGCTGAAGGTCAAAGGTCAGCAAAAACTTCAACAACTGCTGTAATTACTGGTCATAAGTCAGTACTGTATACAAAGTTCAGAGGTCAAACTAAAAAAACTATTTCCATCGTTTTTGTTCAGCTTCTGGTCAGAGAGGTGAGTTCATGTCAGGGAGGTTAAGCACACACATCTGTACATATATTTATAACTGCCAGCTGACTTTTTACTCATCACTCAACATGAAACGAAAAGACCCAGAGAGTAGGGCTGGGCCGTATCATACCCTTCACGGTAATAACCGTATGATGTTGGGCAACGATAAGAAAATGAAATATCGCGATAGAATATGGGTAAAACGCGCATGCGCAGTGCCTTTGTTTTCATACGCACATGGCGGAAAAAGCATGGCAGAGAATGAGGAGGGCGAAAGCGGATCGTTGAATGAAACGGATGAACCAGAACTGGTTTGTAAAAATGCTGCAGCTTCAGTGGTGTGGAACTGGTTTAGCTTTCATCCATCAGATACACAACAAAGCACTATTTTTGGTAGAGCATGCTAGCGGGCCGTCGTTATTACCGTGTTTTTTGGAAAATACGGCGCACTTAAAATCGATCCTTTGATATTTCTGAAAGTCGACAGTGCCCCTTATAATCCCGTGTGCCTTATGTATGAATTCTGGTTGTGTTCACTGACCTCAAAACGATTTTCTGTGGTAGACGGCGCTCAAAAATCTGTCAAATGTTTTAGTACGACTTTGCTTAGCTACGAACCCGCGCCGCTTGATGGATTGACGGAGCATTACGGCTATCGTAGCGGAGCCTCGCGGAGTGATATGTACTGTGCTTCAGCATAATATTACCGTATTGTGTGTGTATAACCTGTTTTTAAGTTTTGTGGATATTATACATGGTTATGCTGAGGATATGTCGGCCAGTTTCCACTGGAAATGCCTTTTGGTTAAACTGTCAGCGAGGAATTTGCACTGTTAAATTTTTATATAACTTTAATGCACATAAAAAAACAGCTGCTTGTTTAAGTGAAAATACATTGATGGTTTTCTTTTGTTGCACTAATAAAGTTGTGGAATTGTAAAGTATTTTGTCTAGTGTCAATTATATCGTCAGTTATTGCAAATTTTCAAATGTATATCATGATAAATAGTTTTGGCCATATCGCCCTGCTTTACCAGAGAATATTATTAATGTTTGGTGGACAGCGTCAGAGGTCAGGATTGTGCTTCAGTTACCATCAGTATTACTGTAGTATAGTCCTATAGTTGATACTGCGGTTTCTTGTCCTCTCAGACCAGCAGGTGGAGGTGAAGGTGAGGGAAGGGTCACAGTCTGTCATCCTGCCCTGCAAAACAACACCTGACCTGCCTGAGGCCACCAGAGTGGAGTGGACTCGCTCTGACCTCGGACTCATGACGGTCCACGTGTATGCAAACAGGAATGATGAAGTCATGACTCAGGATGAAGTTTACAGAGACCGAACGATGATGAATGAAGACCTGCTGAGAACTGGAGACCTCAGTCTGACCCTGAAACACCCCACAGAGAGAGACAGTGGAGGATACATCTGCACCATCTACAGGGACAAAGACATCCTGACACAGAAAGTAGTGCTGCAGGTCAAAAGTCAGTGCTGGAGATCTAAGTACAGGTCAGAGGTCAATATTGTGGACACAGGTCAGTCACATTTTTTTAATGTTTCTCCACAGAACCATTTCCATCCTGGGCCATTGCTCTCCTGGTTCTCCTGGTTCTTCTTGTGGTTTCTGGAGGTCTCACATATTATTTCCGGCACTATTTCATGTCAGGTGAGTGTCTCCTACTACACTACCCATAATGCCGATGGTCAGCAGGTGTCCTCTGGTGGCTCCTTGACTGCGGCTCACACAAACTTGTTCCAGAAGCTGAAAGAGTTGAGAGTTACAAACAGATGATACAGAGAGCTGAAGAGAAACTTCCAGGTTTGTTCCAGAAGTCAGAAAACCTCCTTCAGACTCAGTCATTGATCAGTGAAAAAGCTCCACAACATGACTTTACTAAACAGTGTGTGTGCTTCACTGCATTGATCTGACACAGAGGCTGCATGTGGACAAGCTGTTCTTCTTCTGTGGTGGTAAACAGCAGGCTGACATGGAAACATGTGCTGACAGTAAATGTTGCAGCAGCTTCAGTAAATGTTCCTCCTTGAGTTGTGCTCAGTCATGTGGTGGAGAGCTTCAGATGTTCAGACACACGAGATCTTCATGGTTTCTGTGCTGATGTGTGTGAGACATGGCCGACTGTGGAGGCTCAGGCTGTCTGTTCTTCTTCATCCAACATGTCTGCAGCGCTTTACAGGACGCTGCAGACTAGTTACCAAAGAACGAGTCAGGAACACATCAGGAACAAACTGAGACACAATCTGATTGAGACTAGAAGACAAGGAGGGACAAGGAGGTCATGTGACCACCACAGCTGCTGCTGATGTCATCATGTTGTGCTTTGTTGTCCTCTCAGATTACAAGGTGGAGGTGGATTCAGGGGAGGAGTCTGTCCGGCTGCCCTGCAAAGCTATAGTCAGATTCCTCAAAGACACTAGAGTGGAGTGGAAGGACAGAGATGGCAGGAAGGTCCATGTGTATGAGAATGGACGTGACCAGCATGGAGAACAGTACCAGTTTTACAGAGGACGAACAGAGATGAACAGAAACCTGCTGAAATTTGGAAACTTCAGTCTGACCCTGAAACTTCCCACAGATGACGACAGCTCCACCTACACCTGCACCATCAGCAGGAACGGAAACTTGCTGAAGAAGAAACAAGTGGAGCTCCATGTCAGAGGTCTGAACATAGTTTTGTACAATAAACATATTTTATATTTGACACTATTTCCTCTCCATACTTCAGCCTCTTGGCCAGTTTAGGTTCTCAGTGGTTTAGAAAGGCAGAGCTTATTGATCAGCAGCAGACTGGATGAAATAAACCATCATAAAACTGAATGATCGTTTATCAGCTCACTGATGAATTGTATAGATTATTTTGTATTTCTTTAAGTAGAGCTGCAGAGTTCATGAAAAAATAAATCTTGTCATAGACAAGCCTCATTTGGTTTGGATGGACTGTCTCTGCTGCTGATTGGACATAAATAAAACAAAGGAACTGTTTATGTTCAGTGGGGCAGTTGGACATGTTTCAGAAGCAGTCAAACATTTCATTGAAAATATGTCATTTGAACCAGTCAAACATGCTCAGAGTTGCTTTAGTCTGTACAACTGATGTTGTGTTTGTTGTCCTCTCAGTCCCCCAGGAGGAGGTGGATTCAGGGGTGGCATCTGTCCTGCTGCCCTGCGAAACTACCATAAACCTGCCTGAAGTTGCTAAAGTGGAGTGGATGACCAAATTCAACAGGAAGGTCCACGTGTACGAGAACAGATCTGACCAGCTTCAAGATCAGGACCACCGTTACAGAGACCGAACACAGATGACTGAAGACCGGCTGAGAACTGGAGACCTCAGTCTGACCCTGAAATACCCCACAGACTGGGACACAGACACCTACACCTGCACCACCTACAGCAGGGAGGGAAACATCCTGATGAAGAAACAAGTGGAGCTGAAAGTCAAAGGTCAGTGCTGTTTTGTGTGTGTGAGCTGCAGACACCATTGAAACTTGAGAAAGTGTAATAACTCCAGCTGTACATATCTTATCCATTTAACCCATTTATTATTTGCCAATGGTTGTATTCATATTTTATTCATATTTTAACAGTTCCTCTTAGTATTCAACATCATTTAACATCACAACAACGTGGTCACAGACCTTTAGGTCCTACTGACCAACAACACCTGATGGTAATTAAATGGCCTACCTTAAAAACTGTGACAAAAAGACATATCATAGTGTAAAAACAGAGGCACACAAACATAAATGGCTCCTAAAGCCCAGCCCCTTATTGTAAAAGCCACAAGACTTGACAATTGTAATTATAAAGAAAATAAGAAGCTTATAATAAAGTCTATTTTAGACACACAAAATCAAACCAAAGCCCTCTGCAGAAGAATCTTTAAAAAAAAAAATTATATCTCCAGGTTTTAGATTTTGATCTGCTTCTGTCCTTCAGCTTTCTCTACAACTCTGAAAACCTGCTGCTGCTACAGCTCATGTTGTGTTTGTTGTCCTCTCAGTCTGCCAGAAGGAGTTAGAGGAGTTGGAGTCTGTCGAGCTGCCGTTCAAAACCTCAAAAAACCTGCCTGAAGATGCTGAAGTGGTGTGGAGGGACAGCAATGACAGGAAGGTCCACGTGTATAAGAACGGCTCTGACCAGCCTGATGAACAGCACCAGCTTTACAGAGACCGGACAAAGATGAATGAAGACCCGCTGAGAACTGGAGACCTCAGTCTGACCCTGAAACACCCCACAGATGGAGACAAAGGAGGATACAGCTGTAGAGTCTACGGGGAGATCCAGAGATACAAAAGAGTGCTGCTCAGAGTCAAAGGTTTGTGTGGTTTCCATGTGGTGGGGTGCGAGGCAAACACTGATGTATATAGTGAAATCCACATCATCATTAACTGTGAAGAACAGCTTGCTCTAAACTGGAACAAATTACAGAGAAATGGACCAACAGTGAAGTCCAAGCTTTGTTAGAGATCCAGGCCTGCAGACACACACAGTGTAAACACAGTGAAACTACAGAGTACTGTGAGGAGGTACAAAAGCTCCTCCTTCTGTTCTACTCAGAAACCCACTGCTGCTGTCTGTACAGCTCATCTTTTGTTTGTCGTCCTCTCAGACTGTCAGGTGGAGGAGGGTGAGGGGGCGGAGTCTGTCCAGCTGCCATTTAAAACAACAGCAAACCTGCCTGGAGATACCAAGGTGCAGTGGAAGGTCAGTGGTGATAAAATGGTCCATGTGTATGAGAACGGCTCTGACCAGCCTCACAAACAGCACCAGGATTACAAAGACCGAACGGAGATGAAGGAAGACCTGCTGAAAACTGGAGACCTCAGTCTGACCCTGAAACAGCCCACAGAGAGAGACAGTGGAGAGTACAGATGTGAAGTCGACGGGGAGGTCAAGAGAAACAAAACAGTGCACCTCAAAGTCAAAGGTTTGCTTGTGTCTCTGTGTGTACATGTTTTGACATCTTTGTGAGGACACAAACCTGGCATGCTACAATACTTGTGGAGTCTAACGGTGACTTGTGGGGACAAAATTCCCATTTCGATGAGTTCGACGGCATTTTTTAGTCTCAAATTGTGGTTTAAGTGTAAGTGTAGCGGCAATCTTCAGTCCTTCGTTTCCACTTCTGCAGGACATAAATCTTCTGACTCGTGCTTTTCTAACATAGTTTGTATGCCGCTGAAACTGAAAACTGCAAAACAAATATCTCCAGTTGGACCCCAGTTCTTATTTTCCTGATATTATACCAAAAACAACTATAAACAGCAACGGTTAGAAAACTGTTGCTCCTGATTACTTGCCTAACCTTTCATCAACACGGCAGCACAATACGACCACTTTTACGACACCTACCAACACTTTAAAACCACACAACAGATGAACAAATCAGAACAAATTTACGGAGCACATTATATCAGATTACAACATAAAATAACCAAGATTAAAATTAGAAACAGTGGTTAGGTTTAGGGTTAGGACTTCATTTTTGATGTTTAGGGTAAGCAGCTTGGGAAAGCATTATGTCAATGACATGTCCCCACAAGGATGTAAATACATACAAACGTGTGTGTGTGTGTGTGTGTCTGACTGTGTTGTGTCTCCTCTGCAGGGAGAGTTCAGGATCAAACAGGACAGGAAGGTCCGTGTATATGAGAGCGGCTCTGACCAGCCTGATGAACAGCACCAGATTTACAGAGACCGAACAAAGATGAACAAAGACCTGCTGAAAACTGGGGATGTCAGTCTGACCCTGAATCACCCCACAGAGAGAGACAGTGGAGAGTATACTTGTATAGTCAACAGCAGCAGTATCATCCAATACAAAATAATCCCGCTGAAAGTCAAAGGTATCTGTCTGTCTCTGTCTTCATGTTCATATTTAAAGATTCTTTAGTTGTCATGTGCATCGTTATACAAGTGCAACACACAGTGAAATGTGTCCTCAGAAGCTGCTCGACTGTGCGACAAAACAAGAAAGAGAACATTATATACAGTGAGTAAATATGTGTAAAGAGGACATTATGTGCAGTACGTGAGTGAATTATATACATTATATAAATAAAATAAAACAATCTGTAAATTTACAGTTTGAATCTCAGAATGTACTTTGCATGAGTGACGTGTTAACGTGTCCTGTGCCGCAGTGAAGCCAGAAGATAAGATAAGATAAGATAACCTTTATTAGTCCCACACGTGGGAAATTTGTTTTGTCACAGCAGGAAGTGGACAGTGCAAAAGTTATGACGCAAAAATTAGAATACAATAAGAATAAATACAGTACACAACTGTACAGAATAGAATAAAATAATACTATATACAGTAGAATAAAATAGAATAAAAATATACAATAAGATAAAAATAGAATACGAATGCTATATACAACTGAGTAAAAATACAACGATGCCAGAAAGGATTATTGCACTTAGTGTTATTGCACATGTGTGGATGTGTGTGTTTGTTCAGTTAAAGGATTGATTGTTAATTTATTTCAAACATGTAAACAATATACAGGTACATTTAGAAAAGAAAATAAGAGAGAAAAAAATACTAGATCAGACATGATATCAGAATGTGGTAACAATAAGACCTGTCTCAGTCACGTATGGTGGGGACATGTCCTGATTTAACACACAGATGGCCTAAGGATGGAAGCTGCTCTTGAGTTCCTCTGTTTTTGGTGCAGAACCTTCTGCCTGACTGCAGTAATTGGAACAGTTTTTTGCTGGGATGTGACAGGTCCTTCAATAGATGGGCTATTGTCCAGCACCTACTGGTGTAGATGTCCTGTTGGGAGGGGGGAGCAGCCTTGCAGCAGCGTTCTGCTGTACAGATCACTCTCTGAAGAGCGTTTTGGTCCTTAACATAGCTGTTCCCATACCAGGATGCTCTCCACAGCGACTATATAGAAAGGCCCGAGGATCACTGGAGAGACCCCAAACTTCCTCAGTTGTCAAAGATTATATTTGTGCTTGTGTGTCTGACTGTCTTGTGTCTCCTCTGCAGGAGAGTTCAGGTCCAGGATCAAACAGGGGACATCAGAACAGAAGCAGCTCCATGGATCAGGCTCCTCTGATGGCTGATCAACCAGTTTGATCTGTGTGTTCTTTGATTATTGATCAGCAGTGTTGGGACTAACGTGTTATTAAGTAACAGTTACAGTAACTATGTTATTATTTTGGTAACGAGGACGGTAAGTTGTTATTATGCCAAAATCAGGAACGCGTTACTCGTTACTGGGATTTAGATAGGGTCGTTACTCGTTACTTCGTGTGGTGGCATCGTGGAGCTTCCACAGATTCAGTAACATTAGCAAGTGGTGGAGGCAGCAGGTGGATGAAGGAAAGGGGAGGCAAGAGGAGGAGAGACCCGAAGCGGCCACCAGTCCGAGTGTCAGGTGAACTGAACTTCAGGTAAGAAGTTATGACCTGCAGTCTCTCTGGGTCAGATATGAACCAAGTTTAGGTGGAGTTTATTTTCGTTATGCTGACTTTTTCGTACTGCGTGCTAGCATGACGGAGTTTCTATACAGCTGGTGGTGCTATGAAGTTAATGATGTTGAACTTTATTTTGTTCATAGTTATTAGAGTTGCCAACCGTCCCGTCTGGTATTCAGAGAAAATATTACGCGTTTCGTATTGAGGTGAAAAGGAACAGTTTGTCCCGTAATTCAGCTACAATGAAAAGACACAAAGCGGGAGCTGCACAGCTGCCTCTTCTCCTCTCATTCTCTCACCCTCCCTCTCCTGTTTCTACTTCAATCATGAAACTGATCAGTGATCAGCTGATCGGCTCTCTTGTTTGTTTATCGCTCACTTTGCGCCAGAAAGAGGAAACCAGCGGATGTCCTGCTAAACAACAGCAGCACGTTTAAGCTTGATCAGCTGTTGTTAGAATTTATTTAATATTAATTTCTAGTATCAGCTGATGTTTGCTGGAGCCACAGCTGTAAACCTGCTGGTCATGATATCGGTTTGGTTATCTGGTGAGAGGGAAACATGAAGATGAAACCAGGAGATGTCCTTACTGAATCATCAGAGCTGAACAGGTGATGGAGAAACAGGTTTACCTTTTAGGTGACATGAATGAGTTGAAGGGAAGTTATGAACTGTTTCTGAGAGACAATAACACCAGGATCCTTTTTTAGGTAGCTGACAGCTGGTAACTGTGCAGGGCGGGTCTAGCAAAGTGTTGCCAGGGGGCAGGTAGGGCATTAACAGGGAGAGGGGGCACAAAGAAATACTTTCTTATTCTCATTTAAAATGTCTAGCTTGAAAAAAAAAATTATCTGAGTCTTGCAACAAACGATTGATTGATGCACATATACCATCAGAACAGTGTGCATCACTGTCACAACAGTGTTTGTTTTCATTCAAAGGCTTTAAGATTTTTCCTATAATGGTCAAATTCTCCAGGACGATTTTTGTCCCAGTCCAGCCCTGTATGCAGCTCATCTGCAGTCTGGTGTTACCTACATCTTCCTATTCAGAAGGCAGAATTTCCGAGTTCTGAGTACAATTGAAAGCACCACGACTGCAGTTTTTGTGTTGGATGTAAAAGGCGCACATGACACTGTGACGTAGGCTAGAATCATGGCAGTAGTCAATGACGGTCCAGGCGTGGGATTTCTCTCGTGAAATATGCATATTATCTTTTCCTTTCTATTGGTAGGTGGCACAGTGCACTTGTGGCAAGTAAGCAAGCTAGAAGACTGGCAAAGTTATGGAAGCAACACATTAACAAGAGAATTCTGAGTAAAACTAAAGTTACTTTCCCTAGTAACTAGTTACTTTCAAAGTAATGAGTAACTTGAAGTAACTGAGTTACTTTTTATAGAATTAATTAGTAATGTTACTTTAAATATAAAGTAACTTACCCAACACTGGTCATGTCAGAGTGGAGTCAGTGTGATGTTGTTGTTGTGTGTTTGAGACTTTTAGTGTCCATGAAGGTCTCTGCTGCCGTAGATCCTCTGAACTGTGACAGAGGTCTCACTCTGGAGGAAACTCTCAGCACTTTCCAGCAGCTCCTCCATCATGGAGGACGTTCCCTCACTGTAACAGGTGGAGGAGAGAGGAGAGGAAGCACAGGTGGATCCTCTGAGGAAGACATTATTCTGTTAAATGAGAGGAAACAAAGATATGATTGCTTCGTCTCAGTCCAATCAGATCTGTTTTCATGTGTACCTCAGTGTGATTGTTTATGTTTATCTTTTGTATATTGTACAGAGTCGTGTGATCTGCCCCGGCATGACAAATGTAAATAATTTTATTGTAATGAGGCAGGTGTAGTTCTCTTATATTTATATTAATCTGTTCAGTGAACAGAATAAAAATGCCCTCTTTGATCTACTGTGGTTCTTCTTCTGTGGTGTTTCTGATGGAGCAGCTGCTCCTGATGTTTGAGGATGAGACCAGAGTTCCTACAGCTTCAGGTCAGAGAGACTGAAGCTCTACAAGTGCTTTCTAATCGGAGATAAAGTATTTGAATTTCAGGAACAGGGCCATTCCTCCAATCAAGCATCTTCCAGTTCCTTTCTATATATAATCCCCCAGTTCTACAAGCTGTTCATTCTCATTTTCATGCCCGTCCACCCTTCCTTTTCTCACTTCTTTAACTTTCTCCCTTACAATTAGTAATTGGGAATCTTCAGGGGCGAGGCCTTCCCCAATCCACAGCTCACTTCATGTTTAAGCCATTCACCTTCATGTATTAAAATAATATCAAACCTAAAATGAGGACGTGGGCCCACTGAGTGAAAGTTTTTATCTGGCCAGCTTCAGTAAGAAATACAGATTATTCAAACAAACGTTATTAACCCGATCAAAAAACAGGGAATGTACTTAATGACTTTATACAGACATTTCATGTAGACTGAGCTCAGTTTTTACATTTTTTTTTAAACTCTCAGAGTATCAGAGCCCACCACAGCTAAAACAATCAGTCTCACACATCTAAACTCAAATTTACTGGAATAACAATTATAATCCACGAGCTAAACTGTTTGTAAATATAACGTATAAAGAAATAAATAAAGTCAAATTTCTCATCTACTGACATGCTTTTCTTATAATTCGGCAGGTTGTTCCAAAAGTTAGACTATAATTACATATTTTTCATCAATATTTAAAATCCTGACCTGTACCTGTTGGTTAGATCTGCTGTAAGTAATATAAGTTTTTCACGTTTAGTTTAAATGTAATACAGTCATTTAAAAAGTAAGGAAAGTTCAGGCACATAGAGCTAAAATAAAAATCATCATCGCTCTTTACATCCAACCTCAGTAGGTGGGGTTATCACCGTGGAGACAGACGGGCCATCTTTCTTGTCAAGTTCAACCCTCTCAAGGCAGGCGTTGCCGATTTGCAACAGTTAAAAACTAACAACCTGATTACCTCACATACATATTTTATGAGGTTATTTTACTCAGAAGTACCGCTGCAGGACTTGTTTGTGCATCAGCAACAAAAAGTTTAATTTGAGCCTGAGAGGGTTAAAGTGATATCTGATGTTTTCAATGTCACTGTGAGTAGGAGAGCTTAGAGCACAGTATCTTGTATGTTTTCCTGTGACTGACAGTACAGTCACGCAGTATATATACCAGCAGTACTAAGATTAGAAACAATTACCAGATGTCTCCAGCAGAGGGAGCGTGGAGCTGTTAAACTACCACATAGTTTCCTCTCTTCAGTCGTTACATATGAGCTGAGGAACATTTGTGTCTGAGCAGCTTTCATAGCAAACATGCATGTTTATGGTAACAAACATGTATCTGTGCTCACATGTTAGAATGAAGGTAAACACTCCCACAGATTTCTGTACTGTCCATGCTGAAGGACATATCCTTGTCAAGAATGAGCCCAAGAATCCTCACAGTGTTACTGGAGCCAGGTTGGATACCACATCTATTATATTTGCAGGGACAAGTACAAGAATTTACTCAATTTATCTGAATTTCGAAGAAGAAGATTAGAGGTCATCCAACTCTTTAAGTCTTTAATACAGTAATTTAACTAGTTTGCATGTATTATCTGACTTCTGTTTTTTTCATTTTATTTTAACAGGGCAAAACCTATACAGGACATGACACACAACAAGAACAAGCTGAAACAGACGGGGCAAAAGACAGATAGTGAGTGGGGTGCTGGGATGTAAGTCAGGTCAAATGAGATGGGATCCTAGATGTATGTCATTTATTATTTAACGATTTAATTTTAAACAAAAATAAAACATCTAAATCAATATTTATGAATTTCAGAAAAGCAGAATTAAACTTTCAATAAAAACCTCATTTCATAAAACCATTTTTGCATTCTGCATTCAAAAGATTTTCAAAATTGTTTTTTAAAAAAAACAGAAAGAAATCAATAGATACAAAAATTAAGATTTATTACTGACATGTAGAATGGTGATTCCACTCATTTGAAACCCATTTTACCTCCTGTTAGCTCACAGGTTAGCTATGATATTAGATAATGAATTAGCTTTGGGATTAACTATTTGATTTGCTATCTATTTTTTAAATCCCTGTCACGGATGAACGCTGTGTGTGGACAGGAGAGAAAGGCCCAAATGTACTCTAGGATACACAATATAAACTCAAAAACCTCAGCTTTATTCCTGACACAATCAAAGAGAAAACTAAACTGTGGAACACTAGAAACAATATGACAGTGTGACACGACACAGAGCAAAAACACAGGGTTTAAATACACACAAGAGTATTCAGGGATTGGGAGATAGGAGGGAAACACAGCTAATGAGACAAGGGAAGCAAAACCAGACACACTGCACACAGGACAGGGACTATCAAAATAAAACCTGAAACAATTCACAAGGACAAGTACTTGAGGCTGAGAAACCGACTGAAGGAATGTTACACATGGTACACAAGGAAAATACAGTAACCCAAACTGGAAGCAAGAACACATATAACATTCAGAAAACCAAAACCACGAATGACCAATAAGCGAACACAAAACACTGGGTCAGACGTAGGACCATGACAATCCCAAAGCAATCCAAATTAACCACATGCTGCTTTTGATGTGAGGAGCTCTGATTGGTTGGACAGAC